GGGTTCTATTTTCTAGATATGATACGAGTGGTTTCTGTATTGGTTTCGGAAAATGAGCTTTTATTGTTTGCAATAGTCCCGCATGCCAAAATTTGCCAAACGCTTTTTCAATGTCTATAAAGAGGGTTGTACAGTGTTGTTTATTTTCTGTCGCAATAGTTATTTCGTTGACTAGTCTGTGTAATTGTTCTATGGTGAAGTGTTTGTTTCTAAATCCAAACTGATGATCTGATATTAATTTCTTACTTTCTATGATAGGTTTAAGGGGACTGAATATTATTTTTTCGAAAATTTTGGATAATATTGGGGCTAAAGATATTGGTCTATATGACGCCGTTTGATGCGGATATTTGCCAGGCTTAAGCAACATAATAATCTGTGCTATTTTCCACATGGATGGAAAATATTGAATCCTCAATATTACATCCTAAATTATGGTAATTAATCGTATTGCCTTTAGTGGAAGTTTTTTTAAGATTTTACCATTAATGAGCTCCATACCTGGTGATTTGCTGTTTTTAATGTTTTTGATAATCTGGAGAATTTCATCGTTGGTTATGTTGGGTATAATATAGTGACCTTCCTGTAAGTCCGCATTCGTGTTGTAGTTTTCATCGGTTGCATTGACTTAGTTGACTGTGTTGTCATCATTGGTCATGTGTGGTGTAAATACGTTGCATAAGTAGTTGGCAAATTTCTGTGCCCGCTCTTGATCGCCTTTTGCCCATGTTCCATCAGTTTTTCCGATTGCAGGAGCTGCCCTCGTTGATCTTTTTATTTTGTTTGCAGAGAGAAAAGTTGGTGTTTCCGTGTGCGAAGATTAATTCTAAAAATTTTGTGAATTGGTCATTATTGTGGTTTCTTATTACACTTTTATGCTCTTTTGTTGCTTTATTTATATACGTTTTGTTTCTTGGGATTTTGTATATTTGCCATTTTGCTTTCGCCAATCTCTTTTTTTTTATTCTATCAAGAATGGTAGGTAGTGTTGTTTTATTTTGTTTTCTCTCTGTTCTATACGAGGTAGTTGCCATAGCTGCTTCCTGTATGACATTTAATAGTGTTGTTACTGAATGCTCAATATTAGCTGGTGTTTTCAACGGAATATTGCAATTAATATTGTTTTCAACTAGTACCTTGAATCCTTCCCAGTTGGTGGTTTCGTTGCATATTGAGTTCGTGTTATTGTAGTATACAGGTTTACTAGTATATTCCTTGATTAAAGGTGTATGATCAGAACTGAGGTCATGACTAGCCTGTGTAGTCAGTTTCCTCGTGCTAGGCCCTTTTATAATCGCAAAATCGAGAACATTTGGAATTTTGTTCGTGTCCGATGGCCAATAAGTTGGTTTCCCTGCTGATAATATGTTAAGATTGCTGTTTCTTGTGAATGTTTCTAGCGATCTTCCTCTAGGTGTAATGATTCTAGATACCCACCTGTGATGCTTGGCGTTAAAATCTCCCGCTGCAATGTATTTGCCACCCAGGGATTCAAAGTATTCTTGCCACTTTTGTGTGCCCATTTTATGTCTCGGTGGTGTATATACAGCAGAAACTTGGAATGCATTACAATCGGTTTGCACTGTGATTGTAATTGCCGGGATATACTCCTGGTTAAATTTTCTGTGTAGATGATGTTTGATATTGTTTCTTATTATTATTGCACTGCCTCCGTGTGCTTTTCTTGATAGGTGGTTAGTGTTATATACAGTGTAGTATGGAATTTTGATATAGCTTCTTGTAGTGAAGCGTGCTTCTGAAACAAAGAGTATATCTATATGGTTTTTGTACACAAACGTTTTTGTTTCAAAGACTCTCTGCTGCAGTCCGTTGGAATTCCAGAGTGCCATTTTTAGATTAGCCATTTTTATTCCCATTGCTACTAGTTTTGTAGGTAGTTGTAGCATAGCTGTTAATTGTTGTGTCTGTTGTCTGAGTAATGCGTTTGGCTCGCTTAATAGTTTTGCTATCAACTCTGTGTTCTTAATGGATTGCTTTAGAAGTTCGTTAATTTCTGCGTTTCCGTAGTTATTGATGTTTCGTTTTTGTTCAATTGGTAACGTTGTGTTGGCAGTGACCTTTGCATAATTCTGTGAGTCTTTAAAGTTTGTATTTTTGTCACTTGTGTTGTATGTATAGTATGTGTTTGTTTCAAGGTTATTTTCTGACCTATTAAGCTGAACATTTTGCTGTGAGTACGTTCTGTTTCGTAACGGTGGAAATAGCTTTTTTGCAGTTGTTTTCTTGCTTCGCAGCCTTCGTAACTTGCTGGGTGGTTACCTTTGCAATTAAAGTATTTTACAAAGTTTATTTTACCTATGAGTGTTCAGTTAGATGACAGGTGGTTCTGTGCACATTTAACGCATGCTGGGGTCTTGTTACAGTAATCTTTTGTATGGCCATATTGTTGATACCGTATACATTACGGCATATCTTTTTTGTATCGATGTGGTTCAATGCTTACTGTGGTACTTAATATTGTTTCGACACTGCAAATGTCTTTGTTATTATTTTTTGGTTCGAGTTCTATTAAAAATAACGGTAGTGGTTGTTTTGTATCGTATTTGATCATATTGATTGCACTTATTACCTCGTGTCCCATTTTTCTGAGTTCTGCCACGATATTTTGAATATTAGTTTTCAAGTGTAGTCCTCTAATGACGGCTTTGTAGCTTTTTTTCGGTTTTCAATTGGTATGTGTAATAAACTGCATTTCTTGATTTTAATGCTTGAGTTATTTTACGGAAGTTGTTAGGATTGTTTGTATGGATTTTGACTTGATTAAGTTTAATTTGTTTAATAGTATAATTGTTTGCACCTCTAACATTGATTAGTAGTTCAGTGAGTGGGTCCATTATTTTAGCATCTACGTAAATTGGAGGTGGTTTAACAGTACGAAGAGTGTTTTCTTCAGCTGTATTTATATCAACTTCTTCTATGAGTGAACTAAATGAATTATTTAACGGAATGTCCTGCAGCCATTCCTGCGTTTCAATGGTGCTTATCCCTGGGAATATCTTTCGCTTTTTATTTGATGAGACTTCCTTCCAGTTGATATTTTTATCATTATTTGTTGTTTGGTTAGCATTTTCTTCGTTACTTGTTGAGCTACTACACTCGGTTGTGCTTGCTTTTCCTTGAATTTGAATTCCTTGCTGTTGGTTTAGCACGTTTGGCTTTTATCGATGTAGTATTTATTGTTATTGACAAATATTCTGATAGGTTCAACGGTTTGATCCATGATTATTGACGGTGTAACGTCGGCCTATCTCAGCAGATCTACACATTAATATTAGACTATCCCAGCAATTTGCACATCAAGACTTCCAGGGATCACCGAAAAGCAATCTGCACATCAAGACTTCCAGGGATCATCGAAAAGCAATCTGCACATCAAGACTTCCAGGGATCATCGAAAAGCAATCCGAACTTCATATCCCCACTACCAGCTAACGCCCGCCGAAACCAATGTATAAATATACCATAGTTAAAAGAATAAAGCCAGTCCTAATCTTGCCATAAGTAACGTGTTCATTATTATTTGTCATCTACCTTATAATTAGCTGTTTGAAATTAGAATATGCTGGACTGTCAAATAACAAGTCTCATAATTTTCGAATAACTGTTGCAACGATAACTCTTAAACGGCGTTCAATTATATTTTTCTTTTTCCTTTCTTTGTGCTTTTCCTATCTTTCCCGTGACAGCGGCGAGTAACCGTCGCTACGCTCACTTGTTGCACACCGACACTTGTATTGTTTACTTCAGGAGCAATCCGAAACACGTTTTTCACAGACTACTGTTCGAGTGGAGTTGGATATTATTAGAGTGATTAAAATTTCAAGTATTAAATAATTAATTTAAGTAACGCTTTATAGTTTAAACTAAAAACATCAACATAGTAAATTAAATTTATTTATGTAATAATTAAAGCTAAAATTGAAGTTAAATTAAATTCAAAAAGAATTTGTATAAACATTATTATAGCCTTCAAAACTATTGTATTTAAAATAAACTACTTTTTATAATTTAAATAATTTTAATGTTACAGAAATAATATTAACCCTTTGCGGTCGTATGTCTACTCTCAGCCACCAAAGCATTTTTACCGTTTCAGTCGTATGTCTGCTCCACAGCCACCACAGCAAAGAACCGTACTAAACTTATATTCTATTCGTTCTATCTTATTCTCCATTTAGGCTGTATCACTTTCTATGAAAGAACAGCAACGGCTAAGGAACCGATTCATGAATCAATACGGTGCTTCTACTACTTCGAGATAAGGAAATCTAAATAAACAGAACCGCCTCTGACTCGCCATGCAAGACGCCATAGCAAGTCAGTTGCATCTCGATGCAATCGATAGTCTTTGCAGATACTTCGTAAAATTCGAAATAGTATTTTACAAATTGTTTTAAATGTAATTAGGCATTCTCGCTTCTGACTCTGATATTGCAAATGATAACGTTGATAGTGTTTCTGATAATGACATAATTCCACTGAAGCGGCGAGTGAGACAATGAGTAATTTCCAGCGATAGTGAAGTAGAAGAAACTGATGAAAATGAAAACAGTGGCATAAATGAATTTACTACCTGGAAAGATGCTACGCACAGTGACCAGTCTGAACCAAAAACTAATTTTTTCGACGTGATATAAGATTGCTGGGCCTAATATACCTATTCATTGCAAGGAACCGATCGACTTTTTCAAACTCTTTTTCACAGATACGCTACTTGAAACAATCGTGCTTGTAACAAATAAATGTGCCGAAAGTAAAATAGACCAGCAGAGCTTATCTGAATGATCGACTTGGAATAATTGGGTCTATGTGACGAAAGAAGAATGCACATCTCTTTTTGGCGTAATCCTTAGCATGGGTACTATATGAGTACTATATCAGTCCCGAATATGAAATGTTATTGGACTATGGACCATGCTGGGAACATACCATTTTTTAGAGATATATTTCGCAGAGAAAGATTTTTTCAAATATTTTGAATGTTACATTTGAAGGAAAATGTTTCTGGAAATACAAATATAAGGACGAGAATCCAAAAAGTGAGCAATTTCATCGATTATATCGATGATAAATTCCGAGAGCACTTTACACCGGATAGTGAAATATCAATCGACGAATTTATTATCAAACTTAAGGGCAAAATTAGTTTCATAACTTACAACCCCAATAAGCCCAACAAATGGGGAATCGGTATTTATGTGTTATCTGACGCACGTACAGGATACATATACGCTATGCTTCCCTATTACGGAAGCGTTAATACAGAATGTCTGATACGTCCGGACTTCCCTGTCAGTTCAAAGATTGTTTTACAAGTATACCAAAAGTTATTGAACGCAAATCCTGAGGCAAAAGGATATCATATCTTTACAGATAGATATTTCACAGGAATACCATTAGCAGAGGAACTTTCAAACCTAAAGTGTTATTTAACTGGGACCATTAGAACAAACAGAAGGTATATCCCAGATATGATGAGAAAACCAGCTTTAACAACAAATAATAATGTTGCTGCCTCTCGATCAGGGGATATTTTATTATTAGCATGGAAGGATAAGAGAGTAGTTACAATACTAAGTAGCTACGATACCTCGAGTATAAAAACTGTACAAAGAAGAAGGAAAGAGGGTGGCATCGTCAGTATTAGCAAACCAAATGTTATTGTGAAATACAATATAAATATGGGAGGTATCGATAAGACTGACCAATTGGCAAGCTCATATTGTTTTCTGAGAAAATTCGTAATCAACAACTACATCTTATATAAGGTGTCAGGTAGAAGGGTAAACCATACTCCTATGTTTCATTTGTTTTGTCCGGAAATTGGTGAAACAACTGGTAGCTGATTTTCGGTATGGAGCTTCGTCGAGATCAGGAAGACCATCGTCCTCGGATAGAGAGGAAAGACTTAATGGCAGATTATATATATTGTGGCACTGTCAAGACGTCAAAAGTAAAGATTGTGCTGTTTGTTCGAACAGAAAAAACAAGGGCGGAAGACGCCAAACGAATTATTTTTGCGCCACTTGTCATCGAAAACCAGGACTTCACATTGGAGACTGTTTTGAAAGATACCACACGATGGTGAATTATAAACTATAATTTTTACAATAAAACATTATATTAAATCATATTATTGTGTTTACAATATCAAGTTCACAAAAGAATGAATAAATTGTGTTTTTCCTTCATAATCTTGCATTCTATGTATCACTGCTCGCTCAGTGGAAATTAATCCCGACCAGTACGACACTTACGCCCAAATTTAATACGACCGCAAAGGGTTAATTATTAATTTAGTAAATATAATTCATTAATTATATTAGTATATTATTTTAATTTTAAATTTAATTTGAGATATTTCAGTAATTTATTATCCTATAAAATATTTGTTGCCTTTTTTAATTTACTCATTTATAATATTTCTTCAATATTGTGATTTAATTTTTATTTTTCAATTGTTTCAACGATATTTGTATCTTTATTTGTATTTATTTCAGGTATTATAATCACTTTTTCTTATGTCGGGGTGTACTCCCCCACGGTCGTTTGATATCGGTTGGCCGCAGGTATCCTCGAAGTTGGCGTAGCTAGAAGGGACGTTAGGAAAAGAAAGGGATGCGTTTCGTCCCGGGATTGCTAGCGGACTCATCAGTAAGGCTTGCTTAGCAGGCCCTTAGACACTGAGGATACTATTGGGAAGCCGGGAAGTTATGTATATAGGAACTGGGAGTTTTCCGAGGACTTGCGGGAAAGTCCTCGAAGGCGGAACCCATCTAGTGGCGAGGGCGAGAATGATGGTCGCTACACTTATTTTGTTACTTTATTAAATTTCCCTAAATTAGAGATTAATAAATTTAATTTTTCATTAAATATTTTAATTTTAATTTGTATTTCTATTTTGTAAGAATTATTTATTTTTTTATTATAAAATTATAATAAACCATATAAATTCAGGATGAATTTTTCGTTGAATTCATGTGTGGGGCATCGTTTTATTTTATAGTAATATATATACATGTTGCAGGAAGTTTATTTTATTCTTCACTTGAATTAGTAATAGTAAAACTTATTGTAACTTTAATTGTTTTAATTTGAGTAATAGCAGCTCTTATAGGTTACGTTTTATCTTGAGGACACATTTCTTTTTGAGGTGCAATAGTTATTACTAATTTATTATCAGCTATTCGTTTCATTGGATAATTATTAGTTGAACGAATTTGATGTGGATTTTCGGTTAATAATACAACTTCAAATCGATTTTTACATTTTATTTTACCTTCAATTATTTTATTATTAGCTTTAATTCATTTAATTACTTTGCATTAGCTTCGATTATCTAATCCAATTGGAATAAACAGAAATATTTATAAAATTCCACTTTATTCTTATTTCTCAGTTAAAGATTTATTAGGATCTATTCTTGTTGGAGTAAAAATAAACTCTACGTCCTAGTGATGTGAACCGGCGATCCCCCTTCCCCTGCGTTTTGTCTTTTGTCATTTGTCGCCGGCTTTCTGGAGACGTTGCTGACCTGCGTGGCTCAGAACGGACGGGCCAGTTCTAACCGTTCGCCCGTATAATAAAGATCTAATTTTATACCGTCTCACTGATTATTATTTCCTAAAAGATAACCCCTTAACAGGTTATGGGCCCAGGATACCACGCAAATAATCAGTGTGAATAATTTGTTCTTAAAAGGTGCAGTGTGTTGTGCAATTTTTTTTCTTAAAGAAAAATGGAATCAATGAGCTTAAAAATAGAAAAGCTTCGTGACAGTGATAATTGGCTTCAATGGCGTTTTGTTATACGTACATTGCTAGAGGAAGACGACGATATGCTCAGTGTCTGTGAAGGAAGACTAGAGCGTCCAGCTGAAAATTCAGCAAATTATCAAGCCAATCTACAAAAGTTTTTAAAAGCTGATAAATCAGCTCTTAGATTGATCGTGACATCAGTCGAAAGAAAACCTCTAGACTTACTTCTGAGCTGTACAACTGCACAGGAGATATGAAAAAAACTCAATTCAGTCTACGATATGAAGTCTGACGAAAATTTATCAATAGTGCAGAAACAATTTTTCGATTTTAAATGGGACTCAAGTGAAAGTGTTAATCACAATTTAGCCAGGATTGAACACTTGTCGACTAAAATGAAGAGCCTAGACGGCGCAGTTCCAGATTCCATGATATTGACACGCATATTGTCAATATTACCCAAGAAATTTAATCACTTTCACAGTGCGTGGGATTCCGTAGAAGATAAAAAGAAAACCCTCGAAAATTTGACGGCACGATTAATGGCGGAGGAAGTTAGAACCCAAGAACAGGACAGCTCCGAGGATATGAGTGTGGCATTATTAATGAAACGAAGATTGACAAATACATCGTTTCCGAAGAATAATCGTCACAACAAATCGAATCAAGATGAGCGTCGGAAGAGCAATTTTTCTGGGTGCTACACATGCGGCAAAACAGACCACATACGAAGAGATTGTGTTGGTTGCCATGTGTGTGGATCGAAAGGACACCTCAGCAGGAACTGTTTCAAAAGGAATGGAAACTCTCGTACGCGGAACAACGACGGTGCTCATACTGTGAAGCAGACTTTGAACCATAGGCAGGCTTTCGTCGGAAGCAGCAGTCAACTCGTAGATGAGGACGTCTGGCTGGTCGACTCAGGAGCAACCGATCACATGACACACCGACGAGATTTTTTCGAAGACTTTGAAGAGTTTAAAGAGCCGGTTATCATTCAGTTAGGTAATGGGAATCATACCCCAGCGTATGGAAAAGGTAACATTGAAATTGAAGCATATGTAGAAGGGAAATGGATACCGGGTATCATGTGTAATGTTTTATTTGTACCGAAACTAAGTCAAAATCTATTATCAATAATCACCGTCACTAGGAAAGGGGTGGATCACGCGATTTCAGAATATGGAATAAATGTGTATTTTCACGCGATGGAGCAGTTATAGCGACTGGCTCGGTTTGGGGTGATTTATTCAAAATAAATTTACGCGTTGTAACATCAAAAGAATGTAATTTAGCCGAAGATGTTAATAGCGAACTAGTATGTGCAATATCTCGTAATGATAATCAACAACTATGGCACGAAGGACTATGTCATCAAAATTACAAATATGTCAGCTGTTTTCTTAAAAATAGGAGAAGTCATGCTATAAAGGATAACGTTTTTTGCGAAGGTTGTGCTTATGGAAAACATCATAAGCTTAGTTTTCATGACAGGAACGATCACGCTACGAGATATGCTACGAGATGTCGCGAGATTATACATGCCGACGTATGCGGACCGATGGAGCATGAATCACTTGGCAGGAAACGATATTTTCTAATTCTTAAGGATGATTATTCCGCGTTTAGACAGATTTATTTTATGCGACAGAAATCGGAGGTAATCGATAAATTACAAATATTTTGCAATGAAGTTGAGAATCTGTTCCGGGAAAATATAAAAGAATTTCACAGCGACGGCGGAAAAGAATTTAAGAATAGGGATGTCGAGCGCTATTTGGGCAATAAAGGTATAAAACACGCTTTAAGTATTCCGTATACACCTCAACAGAATGGTGTCGCAGAGCGGGAAAACCGAATTACAGTCGAGGCCGCACCGCCAATGTTATACTCGAAGCCAGAATTACCCTTGTTCTTATGGGCTAAAGCGATGAATACAGCCGCCTATGTCCTTAACAGATCGGGACCGTCAAAACAGCCAGGTCAGACCCCCTATGGGTTATGGTATGGTAAAGAGGCGAACATAGAAAATTTGAAAATATTCGGGACGGAATGTTTTGCACATGTGCCATCTGAAAAGAGTAGAAAGCTGGACAGAAAAGCTGTAAAAGGTTATTTAGTGGGATATATTGAAAATTGCAAAGGGTATCGGGTATATGTACCAAGTTTACGAGATGTAGTTTTAAGCCGCGATGTATTATTTAAACCGGAAAGACTAATAGCAAGTAATATTAATATAAATACATTTCAAAAGGGTGATAAGGTTGGGGGAAATTTAGCTAGTGATGAAAATGCAGATAGTTCTAAAACTACGATAGTTGATAATGACAGTAAAAATCAAGTTCAGCAGCCTCTGCCATCTTCAACTGAGAACAGCAACATAAAACAGCTTCGTGATAGACGTACAATCAAACATACACAATTTTATGGTTGTCCGGTTACTTTCAGCGCTGAGAAACTACCTTCCGATTATAATGAAGCAGTTACTTGCAACGAAAAAGATTTTTGGATTAATGCCATGGAAGAAGAAATGAATGCCTTACGTGAAAATCAAACGTGGTTTTTAGTTTAAAGGCCTGTAAATCGCAAAATTATTAATAGCCGCTGGGTTTACACAAAAAAAAACGAATCCTGATAATACACAAAGATTTAAAGCGCGATTAGTAATAAAAGGATGTTCGCAAATACGAGGGCTCGACTATAAAGAAACGTTCAGTCCGGTAATCCGTTATGATACCGTGAGATTTTTGTTAAGTATTGTTGCGCGTAGTAGTTTAAGTTTAGGTCAGTTTGACATAAAGACTGCTTTCCTGTATGGAAATTTAGATGAAGCTATTTATATGAAACAACCCGAAGGGTTTCATGATGGAACAGAAAATGTCTGTAAATTATTGAAAAGTTTGTATGGATTAAAACAGGCCCCGAGATGTTGGACTGAACATTTTAGCGACTTTATTAAAAAATTTGGATTTCGTAAGAGTTCGGCTGACACTTGTTTTTATATCTATGATAAAAACGATGAGAAGATGTTTCTAGCAATTTATGTTGATGATGGACTTGTAGCAGCATCGCACGAGCATTTAATAGAT